ACCCCCCGCCCCCAACTCCACCCTACTGGCTGCCCTTGGTTTGTCTTAACTGACCATGGCCTTGAAAGGACACTTATGCAGGGACTAACCTCTCTGTGTGTACTTAAGTTCCTAGAGGAAATGTTAACCTCTGGCCTTGAGCAGTATTGCTTATTGTGAGATGCTGGTATTAAATGAAATGCCAAGACAGGCTTCAGATATTTGTGGTATGTTTCAAATGTTTATATTGAACACAAAAATATACTGTTGTAGTCTGGAAATGGCAAGAGGTAGATAGCAAAATAACCAAAAATAAGAAAGATGTTAAGATGTGTCCCAGGGAATGTGGCCTTGACTCTGAGGATCCCACCTCTACCACCTAGTCTGCTGGGTAGGACTGCCCTCCAAGGCCCCTCAGCTTTGCACTGCCTTCCGTCTCTTTCAGATAACTCTTAGCTGAGTTCTCATGTTGTGAAAAAGATTTGTTGCAAGGTTTACAAATAAGAAAATTGACAAAATCCTCAGTAATCTTCCGTTGACAGTTGTTACTGGTATATTTGTGTTCTACAGTTTTTTTCCCTTATGCACAGAATGTATGCCTTTTTAAACAAAAATGAAATTATACTGTAAGTTCTGTTTTATAACTTTTCACTTAGCATACAGTGAACATTTTCCTGTTGCTAGAAGGATCTTTTGTGGTGGTAACATAATGTTCCATTGCATGGTTGTATCAATTTAAACAATCTCCTTTAGAGGACATACATTTTCCATTTGTTTTTTTCTCTTAAGAAGTAATGCTGTGAATACCCTTCCTTGTAACTCAAATTTTATCACATGCAGTATTATTTCTTTGGGATACATGAATACATTTCTACATGTGACTTGCCTTAAGACTTTAGGTTCCTATTGCTAAATTGCCCTCCTGGGGGGGAATTTTCTAAATTAGCATTCTCACTATCGATGTAGACCTAGCTCTGTCTCCCCTTTTGCTCAGAGTGGGTATCACACTAAAATCCTCACTCCCTGGGTGGCTCCAGGCTGCTTTACCTGTGGCTGTGAGCACTGCCACACCGAGCATTGTGTTGATTGACCATCTGCAGTATTGTATATGTGTGCATGCGTGACTCTCCACTTCTTAAGGGTTCATTTCTCTATTGACTGTTTTGTAAAAATATTAATGTATTAATGATGCTTCGTTGTATTTGATGCAAATATTTTCCCCAGTTTGTAGATTGCCTTTTTGTTTATTTTGTTTCAAACATAAAAATGTTAGTTTTTCTGAGGTTGTCACTTTTTTTTTTTTTTTTTTTTTTTACTTTTCTGAATATCAAGATTTATTACCTAAGGTAAAATACTGGTTTAGGCTTTACTTGGGTCAATATTTACCTTGTGTGGCTCTGTTGCATGGCTATCACCACAAAAATGTCTGTTTTTTAACCTCATGTTAACACACAGCTGTCAGAGAAGCTTGAATTCTCTCTTTGGAGTTTGCATATGGGTACTCAGTAGATTCGGTTAATTGCAGCACAAAGTTAGGAGACCATGCAGGAGTCTGTGAGCTCAGATTTCTTGTGCTCCAGAGGGCGAGGTTGTCACTCTTTGTGGTTTCTCTACTCTGTTATGCTTAGATGTGTCCCACCTGAAAAGTATATAAATATTAATGTGTGTTACTTTGTGACACTTGTATGGTTTCATTTTTTACATTTGAACATACCACCCAACTGGAGTTTACTGTGCAGCCTGTCGATGTGTATGTAGTAGGGGAGGGCCCACGAGCTTTCTCCCTCCCACACCCACTCCCTGTGGCCAGATGATGGGGTAGCAGAGAGCCCTGTCCCCTGACAGCTGGGCAGGTTGTTGTCACAACCAGACAGTTCACTGAAGACCTGGGGGGCAGATGGCTGTTGTCTCCTGGTGGGATCTCAGTTGCCCCTCCTCCATGACTCCCCTTTCCTCTGTCTTAACTGTCTGAAACCCATGACAGCCCTGGGCGGGGGCGGGGTGGTCAGAAGCAGGTGCAGGCCGACAGATCAGGTTCTACTCCTGACTTGGGAGCTTTATGACTGGGGACAAAGTACTGAGTCTTACCGAGCTTGTTATCCTGTGAAATGGGGGTAAATGGATGTGTGTATTTGGCACACGGCTACTTTTCATTGAGTGCTTACAGTGATTCCATCCTCTAGTCACCTGCCTGCCTTGCTCTGGGCCTTTTACATGTAATCAGTTTGCTTGTTCTGGTCTGTTCTGGTTTTACATTTGATTTTGTTTCCATTCACATTTCCCTATATCAGCAGAGCCCAGAAACGCTGGCAGTGGCTTTTTCTCAGGGTTAATTCTCCCACAGGAAGTCCACAAAGGGCTTCTACAGGTCCTGTGAGTACCGGAAACTGTACATGTGTATTTCTCTGTGGAAAGCACAAGCTTGCTGAAGGGGTCCATAACCTCAAAAAATACCACAAATGAAAAATTGCATTATTTTATCCCATTGTGCTTATTCTATAGGCTGTTTAGCCGATCTCTTAAGTTGTAAATAGTGTTTGGACTATTTTCAATTGTGCTGCTGTGAACATCTCTCTAAATTTTGCGTAAATATATAAATATGTATTGGTGCAAATATATACATACATATCTATTTCCTAGGGTAGCATCTTCTGGTCACTGAGCATGCATGGTTTTATAACTCTTGTCCAAGACTTACTCTCCAGAAACCTTACACTTCCTCTTGTGAGTATATCCATTTCCCTTCATAATTGCTAATACCAGGTTTTTCTATTTTTTTAATTTAATTTTTTATTGAAGTATAGTCAGTAAATAAAATTTACTATTACTTTCTAAAAAATTTGTGATAAAATATGCATAACATAAGTTTCACCATCTTAACCACTGTAACGTGTACATTTCAGAAGTGTTTGGTTATATTTATAGCATCTCCAGAACTTTCTCATCTTGAAAATTGAAACTCTATACCCACTAAATTCCTCATTCCTTTATTCCCCAGCCCTTGGCAATCACCACCTATTTCTTTGTTTCTATGAGTTTGACAACTCTCGGTACCTCATAATAAGCGGAATCATACAGTATTGTCTTTTTGTGACTGGCTTGTTTTACCTAACGTATGTCCTCTGGGTTCATCTGTGTGATAGTGTGTGCCAAGATTTTTTCCTTTGTAAGAAAGTATTTTTTTGTATATATGTACCACATCTTGTTTATCCATTCATCTATCAGTGAACACTTGGGTTGCTCCCACTTTTTAGTTAATGTGGATAATGCTATTATGAGCACGGGTGCACAAATACCTTTTTGAGGCACTGCTTTCAATTCTTTTGGATATATACCCAGAAATGGTATTGTGCATCATAGGGTGTTTCTATTTTTAATTTTGGGGGGAACTGCCATACTGTTTTCCATAGCAGCTGTACCATTTTATACTTCCACCAATAGTTTACCAGGGCTCCAGCTTTCCACATCTTCACCAATGCTTTTGTTGTTTTTTTATAGCAGCCATCCTAATGGGTATGAAATGATATTTCATTGTGGTTTTGATTTGCATTTCTCATTCCATAGGTTGCCTTTTTACTGTTGATTGTGGCCTTTGATACATAGAAGTCTTTAATTTTGATGTAGTTCAATTTATCTATTTTTACTTTTGTTACCTGTGCTTTTGGTGTCATACCCAAGAAATTATTGCCAAATTCAATGTTATAAAGTATTTTTTAAAGTGCTTTAGTAGTCAGTCTGTATTTCTGTGATTACTTTCTAGTCTGTTTTACCATTTGATTTACCATCTGCATTTTTCCTCTCTGACCATTTACCATAAATTTTCTGTTAATTTTTATAACCATCATGAATTCTTTATATAGTTGGGAAGGTAAACTTCTGCCAGTGTTGTCAAACTTACTCATTTTTTTCCTTTTATTGTTGTACACAAAAAGTATCTATTATATAAAGACTTAATAATTTGGGTCTAATAAGTCTAATAATAACAACTAATAAGACTTGGGTTTACATCTGATAATTTTTTTAGTAGCTAAGTATGTATGTACTCCCACATTACAATGAATGCTCTTCTCCATTTAAGGAGCTATGAGTCCAACCTAGGAGTGGATCTAAATTAATTATTTACACTGATAAAGCTGAAACACCAGCTGCTGAGTAAATACTGTCATTGTTCTTTTTTTCTAGGTCTGTCAACATTAGCTTCTTATAATTATCTGCCTGAATCTCTTTCTGCAGTTTTTAGTCTGTAGTTTTTGTTGTTTCTAATCAAATAACAACAAATTTTAATGACAGTCACTGTTCATTATGCTATGAAATCTAGTAAGTGGAAACTATGATACTCCTCAAGGCAAGAATATTCTCTCTCCTTGTTGGAACTTTAGACACAGAACTGGGTTAATCTTTGGTTTAAGACATAACATGCCTCTCTTCTTTTTGGTTCCTTGATGTTGTAATAATGTGAGCATTTCTGAATCTTTGCTCAGTGTAAAAACTAGGAATTAAGACAGTAACTTCCTCTACCTATGTGGCCATCTCCCCCCATCTTCCTCCCTGTCTCCCTCTAGGCCAAAGTAATCATGATCCTGAAGAGTAGGTCTATCTTTTACTTGGTTTTTTTTTCCGTGTAACTGAAACAAAAACTTGCCAAACTGTGGTTTTTAAACTGTATGTTTTCATTTTAGTTGTTTTTAACTTTATAAGCTTCTGGAATATTTTTCATTTAATGATATTAAGATTCATCCTTTACCTTGTGTGTAGTTCATTTGGTTCACTTGCTGGATAGAGTCTCTCATGTGACTGTAACACAGTTAATTAATCAATTTTTCCCATTGCTTCTCTCATTCTCTTCAGTGTGATTAGGTAAGTGATAGGTGGATGCTGTCTTATACAGAATTAAAGCTTGGTTAACAAGGTTGGCACTATCCGTACCCACCCCCCATGCTTGCTGTGTTTCCTGCCAGACCTTTTTCTATTCATGTATATCCATATGTAATATAAAAAAAACTGTGTAGGTGGGAAAATACTGTTTTATGCCGTGTATCATTATTGACTTGCTTTTTTCGTTTAACATAGGGAGATTCACGTGGGCACGTGTAGAGCTGCTGTCATTGTATGAAGCTGCTGCTGTGTAGTCCTTCACTTGGAATTTCCATGAGTTATTTAGCCATTCTGTTCTAATGGATATTTACACTATTTCCAGTCCTTTCGGATGCTGTATGGTCATGCACACCCCTTGTGCACACACATGAGTGTTACCCAGGGTCAGTACCAAGAAGTGGAATTGCTGGGTCATAGGACGTAGGCAAGGCATTTT